GGGGGGGGGGGGGGGGGGGGGGGGGGGGGGGGGGGGGGGGGGGGGGGGGGGGGGGGGGGGGGGGGGGGGGGGGGGGGGGGGGGGGGGGGGGGGGGGGGGGGGGGGGGGGGGGGGGGGGGGGGGGGGGGGGGGGGGGGGGGGGGGGGGGGGGGGGGGGGGGGGGGGGGGGGGGGGGGGGGGGGGGGGGGGGGGGGGGGGGGGGGGGGGGGGGGGGGGGGGGGGGGGGGGGGGGGGGGGGGGGGGGGGGGGGGGGGGGGGGGGGGGGGGGGGGGGGGGGGGGGGGGGGGGGGGGGGGGGGGGGGGGGGGGGGGGGGGGGGGGGGGGGGGGGGGGGGGGGGGGGGGGGGGGGGGGGGGGGGGGGGGGGGGGGGGGGGGGGGGGGGGGAGGGGGGGGGGGGGGGGGGGGGGGGGGGGGGGGGGGGGGGGGGGGGGGGGGGGGGGGGGGGGGGGGGGGGGGGGGGGGGGGGGGGGGGGGGGGGGGGGGGGGGGGGGGGGGGGGGGGGGGGGGGGGGGGGGGGGGGGGGGGGGGGGGGGGGGGGGGGGGGGGGGGGGGGGGGGGGGGGGGGGGGGGGGGGGGGGGGGGGGGGGGGGGGGGGGGGGGGGGGGGGGGGGGGGGGGGGGGGGGGGGGGGGGGGGGGGGGGGGGGGGGGGGGGGGGGGGGGGGGGGGGGGGGGGGGGGGGGGGGGGGGGGGGGGGGGGGGGGGGGGGGGGGGGGGGACTCACTACTTCACCTCTGGCTCCCTGGGGGGCGTGTTTGACCTTCTCTACCAGTTCAGCCGAGAGGAGCTAAAGAACTCAGGTATGTTTTCTTTAGCCCTCACTTTTTCACTGGAATAATAGCATGCAAAACCTATTTTGTCTTACTCTATCATTTTAATTATTCTTGTTTGACTTTATTTAGATCTGCTTTATTTCCAGGATGAGATGAAGAATAATGAAAAACATATGCATTTGAGTAAATAAAATAACAGTAGAAAATTAGGACAGAAAAAATAAGCACACTTAACCTCTCTGGTTAGGATTATATTTGTCTCTGAATTTCCTGACACCTGAGAACATAAGCTTTATAGTAATGATCTCCTAAAAAAGAGAACTGCTTGCAATACCTAAAGAAAAACATGGGTTACCCTGGAACTAAATTCTAAAAGATAAGATGCTTGCAGCATTTTATAATAGATAACTTATAGTACAAGTATTTATACCAAATTCAATAGCAATGATTTTCTTTAATGATTTTAAGTAAAAGCCAAGGGCATAAGATGAAAGAGCAATTAGGGACTGACAAGGAACTAAGTCAGTGTTGGCTAAATACTGCACCACTAGTGAAACTTGAAACCAAGTGGGAGGCACTTTTATTTGAGGAATGACTACAGTGTTATGTCTTAAGGTATGGAACAGATATTTTTTGCTTGCGTAAGTGTTATCTGAAATTGCCAATATTATCATTATAGTTTAAACACATTTGGATAAATTTGTTTTCAGTCTCTTGTGTGAAATGACACAAGGTCCTTGTGATAACCTATCATTTAACTCTTTAGAACAAAATGAGGAAACTTTATGGTGACCAAAATTAAGCTCATAAATTTCTTCAAATAAATAAAAATTATTTATCATTAAGCCTTTACACAAAAGAAACAATAAATTCATTTTAAATCACAATAACAGACCTCCTTCTTGATATCTCATTATGGTAAACAGTAATGTTTTGATAAGGCTGCTCTGAGTCCTTTCAAATCTTAAAGTCTTCCCTAAAAAGGGAGGGGGGATGGGATAAATTATTCTCAGAAAGAATTTTTAGTAAGATGGTCTTAATTTTTTAACCTGGAATTTTTACTGAAATTTTACTGTGACAGGCTGTCCATACTGCCTTATGTTTCATTCCATTTATCCTTTCCACTTGGACAATGCTTGTACAATGAATTTGATGTCTTTTGCCACTGTGTATAGCATCACAGTTAATGCAGAGCAAAAGTGGTTGGGGGAAACCCCTGGCACTTTACTTGGTTTCATTTCACACTTCAGATGAAATATTCTGGTTACTGCTGCTACAGCCAGGCAATAGTTTTCCATTTGGTCATGCATTTAGAGCAAAGCCTCTCAATGCTTAGTGACCAGCTTAAAGAACTGCATGAAACTTTAATCAACCACACAATATTTCAATAACTGAAGCCCTGTGACCAAAATGAAGAGTGACAGGCTATACTTTCCTACTAAAGAATTCTCACCTTCCACCTTGTTCTCTTTAAACTCCTTTTGTTAAGAAGTCATCTTCTTCCCTGGATTTGAGGTAAAAAATTATTCACTCCACTACTTATCTCTTTCTAGAGCTAATGAAAGAAAAAAGTTTGAGATGTGACAGGAAACTGGAAATAAATACATATACAGATCCACATATATACACTAGATACACATACATACTCACTATACATATGCTCACATTATATAGTATTAACAGCATATGTGTAGAATATGTATATGTATATATTCAATGATATTGTATTCAATATTCTTACATTTATTCTGAGTATTATTTCGGTAAATATATATATGTGTGTATTTCTCTGAGTCACAATATTAAGATTGATTTGTGATTTTAATTGTGGTTAAAACAAAACACACCCAGACAGAAACAAAGCCCAATAAAATGGAACTCTCCAATGGATAATCTTGCCTTGTCGAAATGAACACATATTCTGGACTCCTCTATTTTCTCTATTTCTTTTCCCTTTACCTAGACATAAAATAAAACTAGAGTATAGATTTAGTTTTTGTTATACCATATTGAATAAGAATTATACCCTTGTCATTAAATAAAAAGATGACTTGGATGTTTCATGGTATTTCTTTTCTCCTGAGAAGAATAAAATTAAATTGCTTTTTGTTTACACCCTTCATCTCCTACTCTATTGTTCAGTGTCCCATGGTCATATTAAAACCTTGAATAAAAGTTGGTATTACTTCAGTGTGCAAGGTGAAAAGCACTTCAGAAATACAGGGAAAACATTAAGCAATTGAAATAGCATAACATACAAGACAGAAATTTTAAACTCCTTTTGTTAGTAAGTCATCTTTTGCTTTGGATTTGATGTGAAAATTATTCACCCCGCTATTTACCAGTATGGTATTTCAACTAACACTATCGACTTACTCAGTGAGTGAAGCTAAAGATGTTACTGAACTACTGATCTGGTGCACAGCAGAGGGGTGCTCAGGTGTGCGAAGCCGGGTACCACAGGTCCTCAGTTAATATAGGTAGAGGTCAGGCAGCAATCATCAGGGCATAACACAGAGAAGAAAAGGTTTGTACAGAAATTCATTGATGTAGCCCTAATATTTTAATCATCTTTCAGCTCTTTAAGGATTTACATGTAACCCTCAAAAATAGAAATTAAGTTAAACTTTAGTTAATTCACTGCGTTATAGTTAAGTAACTGATCACATAAAATTTAATTTTCACTTATAAATGATAAAAACCCTTCAGAAAGAGTAAGAAAAAGAATACTTCTCAGTAACTACATAAAATTCCTAGAATGGCCTAAAACTTTGACCTGCTTACAGAAACAGAAGAAAAATGAACCATCTTTATTCAAGCCAGTTTGAAATAGCCATCTTTTCTCCTCAAGATGAAGATGCAAGGTAAAAATGAGAGTTTCAAACCAATCTTTTTTTATTCTCAAGTAACAAACTAATAATACATCTCTTCAAATGTGTCAAACTGTCAAAAAAAATCCTGAAGAAGGCAGACCAAATGTACATCTTCCAGCCTCATCTCTCAGCCACCTGAACCTTCAGTTTTCTGGTTCAGCATCACACCTGATCTGTACCTCAAGCTCTGAAAATACTATTTCCTGCTCATTTTGATAAAGTACTTTGCTTCATGGTACTTAAGGGCTGAAAATAAGGCTGGCAGATTGGCTAAAGTGGCAAGAGCACCTGCCTAGCAAGCATGAGCCCTAAGTTTACACCCTAGTGCCACCAAAAAATAAAAGAACTTATTAACAGCTGTATCTCTTGTGTGCTTGTATTTTTGCGAGGAAGCTTTCAAGTAAGTATCAAAAGGCCTGGACTTTAATTTTGATGTCTCTGGCAGTGAGTCAGGTGACCTAAAGTGCTATCAATAAAAAGGAAACACTGATTCCTCTCAAATTACCTGGGTAGGTGGTACCAAATCAGCCTACAAATGTCCTAGATCTGTTTCTCTGCATTGTGCTTCGCTCACATAGATTTTGAGGTCACTGAGGGTGACTATAGACATACAGGTGGGAGTGATTCAGATGTCAAAAGCTTCAACAAACGATGACTTAGAGTTTGATAAAAAACAAGAGCAACAAGAACTAAAAACTTTCTAACTGACGGGGCTGAGCCTCAGAGCATCAGGCTTGTTACTTGACCTCAGAGCCTGTGGAGACCAGCCAATGGAAGCAGTGCTGAGAAATGAGAAAGATGTCAACCCCAGCTCCCATACCTGAAGAGATGGGAATGAAGCAGTAACATACTCCCCTAGAGTCAGCAGGGAAATAGCATCAAATACAGGCTTGACTTCAGAGAAGAAGCAAAATGGATAGCCAAGGAGGAGACTAAAGAGTTCATAGGTCAGGAAGTCAGCTTCTCTGATCTTAAAATGAAAAGGGTTTAGAGACGGAGGAAGAGTTGCTCAGTCAGGGAGAGGAATCACAGAGAAATATGAAAATGAGTATTGATGGATGGAGAGATGACCAAGATTCACATTTTAGGTGATGCACAAGTGACTGTGGACTCAAGTCTCACAGAATCAGCTGTGGCCCAGAAAATAGACCTTACTGTGAAGAGCAGAACAGAGCATGTCTTAGTCTCTTGATGTGCAGGGCCACACAGTGGCAGTGGACAATAGAAATGACAAATGTAGAAGTTCATTTTGTCCAGTGGCAGCAAAGAGGCAGACAACAAGCAGAGTACAAGGTCTCCACAGATGGGCCTTGGGTCTCATGGGTGCTTCTTAGGGTCAGCACTGAAGAGGAAGATGACAAGGAATCACAGATGTGTTTCTCTTCAGGATCATCTCTGGGCCTGGGAAGGGCTGAATCTAGAAGTAAAGCTGTCTGCAGGAACTGAGGAGGACAGAAGCTGATGGATAGTTTTCAGCTGATGAAGTGATCAAAGTTCATGTTTGTCTCTGAGTCCTCAGAGGGTTTTCTTCTGTATTCTATTTCTTAGGCTTAAGAGAAGAAGAAACCAGAAAGTGTATCCAAATTGAAACAGAGAAACGTATTCTTTTTGTTAAGAAAACAGAAGTGGAACACCGGTGCACCACTAACAAGCTGTCAGAAAAATATGAAGGTAATGGTACTCTCTCTCAGTAGCTTGTCCACTATGTCTTGTGGCTGCCTATAATTTAAATACCATATTGTACGTGGCTGTGCTATTTTTAACTTTTCACTTATTTCATTCTTCTGCCTCAGAGACATTATGTGTGGTAAGTGCAAGGTACAAATAAAATATCATTAGCACTACTTAAAAAGTAGAAATGGCTACGGTTTTCTTTGCTGTTCAATTTAATGAAAAATTCATTGATTATGCTCATGCAGAACACAATATTAGGCATTGTGAAGTAAATACAAGAATAAACTAGACATTCCCATTAAGAAACTTACAAAACAAGGATATATACATAAGCAATTAAAACTATAGACTGACAAGGATCTAGGAGAGGGATTTTTAAGGCCCTGAAGGTATGATGGGCAGAAGAAAATGGTCAGACAGAAATCCTGAGAACAAAATTCATCAGACTTTGTGGAGAAAAAAACACACAAAAAAATTAGAAAAGCCATACATTGAAAATAGCAGAAGACACTGGCAAATGGAGCAAAAGAGAAAGAAATCCAAACTACTAAAGTAAAAAGACACAGGTTAGCTTGCAGAGTGATTTTATGCTTTTCAGTTTCAGGCACTAATTTAGGACTTTCACTCTTGCATCCTAATACCCTATCTCTTCCCAGCTCTTTACAAGTGACCACTAAGCACCTCTACCTGAATGAATATGAACACCAATATTTCACATGCTCTGTCCTTGTACAAGTAATTCTCATTACTAACAGCATAGTCTTTAACTTGTAGTCCACTAGGAGATTAAATGACATGCTGTTTATAGTGAGACTAGTATAGTGATCAGCAGCTCTTGGTTCCCTTGCCTTCCCACTCCTTTAGTTGTCCTGATCTTGATAAATGACATTGTCATCAACTAGGGCAATTGAGCTAGTAACCTGGGCTTTGTCTTTGATTTTGTCTTCTTTCTAGACTTCATATCCAATAAGTAACCATGCAAAATCCCTTTCACCTCCTAAATACCTCTCCAAGTTGTCTTCATTTCTTTTTCATTGGAATATCTACCATCATTATTTCCATCCTAGACTATCACAGAAATCTCCTTGTTCTAGTCTTGCCTTCTTCCAATTTATTTTTTTACCAGAGTTTTCTACATGGCAAATCTTATCATGAAACCCTCATACTTTAAACACATGATGGTTCCACGTGGCCTTAAGGATAAGCTCTTGCCTCTTCTGATGCACAGCTAAACTATCTCTAATCTCCTAAACAAGTCATGTTCTTTCTCTCTTGTGCTTCACCATTATAAAAGACTCCTTACTCTACATAAAATCCTCTTCTTCCCTTTCTTTGCCTGACTGATTCTTACTCATTATGACTCAACAAATGGAAGTAGCATCATAGAAACTCTCAAAGTTGAAGCTTGTGCTCTCATGAGGAAGCTAGACAAGGAACAAAGAAAAATACAATACTTACTATAATAAATAGACAATTATACATATAGTATCAGAGCATATACCTGGTTTGTGTATACATACCTGTGTTAAACATAAGCAAAATGAGAATTGGCTTGATAACTGCATTCTTATTATATCAAAAGAAAAAGAGCAAGAAGGAACAGTACACCAAACAGACAATTTAGTAATGTAAACTAGATATTTATATTAAAAAATCAAAGATTCTGCACTGGCTTACCATGTAATAGAATATTTTAACAAGAACATGAATTCAATAAATCAGGGCTCAGAGTTTTAAAAATTAAATGTAAGAATTAAAGGAAAAAGGATATTTCAAAGCTAAGGCACAAAAACAAATATTGAGAATCACCATTATAATTATAAATAAAATTAAACACTACAAGGACAAAATATAATTTTCCAAAAGCAAAATAAATAAAGTTAATCACATATAAACAAAAAGATCTAAAAAAATCACAAAAAGTTTAGAGAAAAATTCAAATATGATTAAAGGAAATCTAATGAAAGTAGAATAACCAACATAAATTAATGCATGGGAGTTAAAAATCCAAATGAAGAAACAAAAAGTGTACTCAAGAAAACACTATCTTAGAACATATCCCTAAAATAAATGAAGGTTTATTGATTATATGTATCAGAAATACTGTTCAAGTATGCAACTCTAAGATAAATTCTGGTTAATTTACTAAATCCAAAGATTTTTTTCAATGAATTCTGTAAGTACTTAGGCTGAAAATTCAAGTCTACTGCAAAATCCTTCTGGTCTCATACTTTCTCCATAACAAAATTCCACATAATAAGACAATGGCGGAAGGTACACAAATTTCTGAAATAGGAAAAAAAATGCTTCCATGTGAAAAAGTAATAGGAAGACATTCTCATAAGAGTATTCTGAGAATATACATTCTTGAGTACTTACTGAAAAAAAGCTGCTCAACTGGGAAATCCATGTAACAAAGAGACAAATTAAAAAACAATTGGAATAATTCACGTTTGAAGATAGGATTTTATTTCTCTAAAATAGAATTCAGCATAGCTCTCAAATCCCCATTTCTTCTAAGTAGTAAAAACATATAAAATTTTCAATGTAAGGCAACTCAGTCATCCTGAGTTTCAATTTTCATTCAGATGGAGGATACTCTAGCTTTTCTCTTTTGCTGCTTCCCAGGGAATGTTTCCCAGTGAATGTGTAAACCTGCATGTTAGCACATGTTGTGGAAAGAGAAAGGTGCACCCTAACATCAGAGGAATATAGGACCCTGTTGTCCTTTTCCTTTGCTGGCCTCAGGCTAATGTGTCATTTACCTGCTCTGGTTCTTGTTGTTATGCATTGGCAACTACTGCCAATATTGATGATCCTCCCTTGGCCATGGATTGTTAGGACCATACCCTTGAAATCTTCCTCATGCCAATGAAAATCATGTCCCTTTGTTTCAAAACCTCTCTCTCAAGACTTCCTCAGCTTCAGGGTTTAGCAAACTCCTGGCTGTTTTCTTAAACATCGAGTAAAGCATGAGGGCCTTTCACCCAAGGGACCACTTACTTGAGTGCCATGTTGGATATAAAATATGCACATTCTATTACTAGAGAAGATTTAGGTACAAATGCATATGTGTTTCTCTCAGATTTCTCTTGTAGCACACGCCTCCCATGACTCTCCTCAAAGTATCAAAGCCCTAGGACTTCACTGAGGAATTCACCAAGTCTAAATCTTGTGCATGTCAAACAGTTTCCATTCTCCCTAATGCTAAAAAAATCATTTCTCCTTTTGAGAGGAAAAATGGTTCTTATGGCATTATACATTTCATCATTCTATGATTGATGTCATAAATTTTAAGTCCTAGCAAGATTGACTCTTGATATTTAAATTCAAGAATTCTTTTAAAACATTAAGTACTGAAGAATTCTCTTTTGTCTCAAGAGCCTGTCCCTTAACCTTGAAAACTGTGGCCTTCAAATTTATGATTTCTGCTAGATTTACAAAAAAAGTACTTGAGTATTCAGAAGATGTAGCTTGATTCCTTTTCTCTCCATCTTCTTTAACCCAAGGGTGTACATAGAAAAAGCCCAGATGCAACTTGAATTATGAGAGGAGTGGCAGAGACAAGAGTACAAAAACACATAAAAATATTAATATCAACATATAAATCCAATAGATAAATACAGAACTCAGGAACAAAGAAACAGTGGGCAATGATGAGTCAATGACAACTCAGTTTATTATATAAAACTCACATGAAATAAGGGGAATAAGGAGTATGCTTTTCTGAATTGCTTAAGTTTTTAATATGCTAAAGATACAATATTTATTTTAAAGTAACCAAATCCTGAAATTATAATTTTTAGCAGGTACTCCCAAAAGAAATTGTTCTGTTTTTTACCTCCATTGTTACACATCAGCAGGGCTAGGTGCCAACCTGTTTATTCTCTTTGTAGCCTGTATGCATAATACCATAGCCCTCACCACACTGCATTGTGTTTACTTTCTATTTCCTCCACTAATTTGTAAACAAATTGAGGACATCAACATAATCTTTATGTCCTTTGCACTTAGCACCATTCCTAGTACATTATAAATAGTGAATTGATATACTCAAATAAACACATGAATGATTAAAAGGAAAAAAGAATAAATAATAAATCAGCATTTATTAAGTCTTTACTATGTTCCAGGCACAAAGTACCATTCATGTATGTGTAAACTCTTAATTCTCTCAACTGGTACAATTACTACACTTGTTTTAAAGATGGGGAAAAGGATGCACAGAAAGGCAAAGAATGAGTACATAAAAGAATAGAATATTTCAGTTTGGCTTAACATGAATTTGCAAGATAAAGCTGTGAAGGTTGGTTTGATCTATATTAAACCAGACTTACATGCCTTGCTAAAATATTTGGAAGACTCTCACCATCTTATTTACAATCTGCATGATTTCAATAGATGTTAAGTGTGAGTGAAGTCCATCTTAGATTCGAAAACTCTGAGTGTGACAGAATTAAAGAGAACTCTTAACTTCTAAAATTATAAAGTGGACTGTGTTTTTTTTTTCAAAAAGTTGACATGGTATATAGTTTCTCCACTCCCCCCCCCCAAAAAAAAAAAAACTTTGCCAAGAAATTCACAGGTTTAGTTTTGGGAAGAGCACTCTGCTACATTCAATGGGAAATAGTAAAAAAAGAAAAAAAATTAAGTAGGGGAGTAAAATGTCCTTTATAGATATTATTTCTATTTGTGATGCATTAAACATATAGAATATGGATTAAGTTGCTATATAGATCAACATTAAATATCAGTACCTCTAAAGAAATACTGAGCCAATTCTTAACCTGAGTGTTTTTTCCTTCATGTAATGTGTTTTTATCTTGCTTCAAGTTTAAAAACATTCTATCTTTCTTTTTGCAATTGAAAGTTTCAATCATTGCAAATCAATAAGTTGGATATCAGAAGCTATGTGGTTTATGTTATTCCAGTTGTCAAAGACTTCTACCAGTATAAATCAAAAACAGTAAAAGGCAAAGTAGTGAAGGACAATGTATTTGCATCTCAGTGTTGACTCTCACTGTGTGTTCAGGACAGAGTGCTTTCCCCTTCACTATCTACATTGAAACTACTCTCTCTCTCTCTCTCTCTCTCTCTCTCTCTCTCTCTCTCTCTCTCTCTCTCTCTCTCTCTCCAGGTTCACTTGTACAGGGAGCAGAGAAATCCATATCCCTGGTTCAAGGAGGAAGGAGTGAGTTTGCAGCAGCTTTGGCATGGGAGAAAGGCAACTCAGGTCCAGAGGAGAAAGTCTTTACGGAGTGGCTAGAATCAGTGAAGGAAAATCCTGCTGTGATTGACTTTGAGGTAAGATTAAAAAGTATTGAGGTAAGAGTGCTAAAGCAGTGTGCCAGAAACCCAAATTCCACACCCTATGATTCCTTTTCCATATTCTTCTCAGGTTATAATGGAAATATCTTTCTTTAATATGTATGCACAATGTACCTTTAGAAAAAAAAACAGCTCAAACTTGAGATGAACTGCCCCTTCTGCAGCCTAAACGGCAGCTGGTCTCATCCCTTGCAAAACAAAGCCCACTGTTCCTTATCTCCTGCCACCTCTCTTTGTCTGTCCCTAGCCCTTGCTTTCTCCAAAATGCTACTTAAGGCCAGACCCGCCAAGAGAAGCTGCTGAGCCATTTTCTCTTGGCCAGCCAGCCTGCTTATTAAACTTTGGACATGAGAAACCTCTTGTGAGCCTCCTTTGTGTGCCGTGTGCAGCATTTTCCTAACAATCTCCCCATGAACACAATAAATTCAGTTTCTGTGATTTTCTTACAACTCTATCTGATGAGCACTCCAAAATCTTCATCTGTAGCTCTGTGGGATAAATGGGATTTTAGATCCATTCAACTTCCTGTTTCTATCACCACTGATTCAATTTACCAGCTCTGTATTTGTTGTAATTACATAAAAAGGTGATTTTTGTTATTTATGGAATACTTTCCCCATATATCAGTCATATGCCATTTAGAATCAGTTTTGTATATAATATAACTACATTTTGAAAGGCCTCCAAAGACGTTATTAAGTTTATTTCATTCAAATGAAGATAAAGGAGTTCAATCATTATGAAAATGGAATCATTTACATGTAGCATGAAAATATATTGAACTCCATGGGTTCTGGTAGGAAATGAGACCCAGATGCCCATCTGGACAATTTTAAGTAATACACTACATTAGATAGTCATTTCTTTGGGCTTTAAAGAAGTTAATAAAATAAGCACTCTTCTTTTGTTGTTGTTAGCTCCATTATTTGTTACTGTAATTTTTCTATTCATCTAACTGGCAAGTTCAACCCTCTATTTTCTCCCACCCCACATATTGTTATCTGGCTCTACCAAAAGCCAATACTATCCCTAGAAAAACAAAGAACAAGGAAAACCTCTCTTCATCTTCTCTAGATTTTCCTGCCTGATTCAAACTTAATGAGATTTCAGCAGAACATTAATGAGCATTGATGACTCTCAGTCATCTTTCTCAGCATTTTGATGTATGCACTTGATGTTTACTAAATAACATGATGCGTTTCCAAGAAAACAACATCTGACATAAGGCTTCTTTCATAGTAGAACCGCAGGGAAAGTAAGTTCCACACAGATCATCTGCCCTCAGGTACAAGGTTTGACTCTACTGGCTCAACAGGCTTTTATAATACTCCCTTTCAAGTGTGGTGTTTTCTGGGGCTGACCTTTCATTCCATAAGAACTAGGCAACATTTGCCAAAGGGAATGTGACTGGGCCTCCTCTCTATCTCTGCTCTTAGCTTGCTCCCATTATGGACTTGGTAAGAAACATCCCCTGTGCAGTGACAAAACGGAATAACCTCAGGAAAGCTTTTCAAGAATATGCAGCCAAGTTTGATCCTTGCCAATGTGCTCCATGCCCTAATAATGGCCGTGCCACACTCTCAGGGACCGAATGTCTGTGTGTGTGCCAGAGTGGTACCTATGGGGAGAACTGCGAGAGGCGATCTCCAGACTATAAATCTAGTGAGTATCGGTGACAGGTTGTGAGGTGGGCACCTTTTTCCCTCCAAAAAAGATGTTTTGGATTGGTCAATTTAAACAAACAATACTTATTAGCAACTTCCATCTTGCTCAAGCTTACAAAGATAATAAGCCCTCAAAAAAGCCCTAGGACTGTGGGTGTGGCTCAAACAGTGGTAGAGCACTTGCCTAGCAAGAACAAGACCCTGAGTTCAACCCAGTACCACCAAAAAAAATGTGTCTGTAAAGTCAAACAAGCCTGTGTTTGTCTCATCTGTATCAGCTACCTGATGTTAGAAAAGTTATCTAATCTTTCCATACTGCAATCTGCTCATCCATAAAGTGAGGATAACACCAGTATCTACACCAGGATTTAAATATACATTTATTCACTTGTTTTATGACATCTTTAAAGCATACATAGCATATCTGTAGCATTAAATAAATAAATATAAAGTAAATATATAATGCTATTATTATAAAATGCTTACATAATATAATGTATAAGGAGAATAGCTTTATAAGGGATAAGTTATGCCACAACCAAAGTTTTCATGTTCATAGTTATCACATTCTCCTTAGAAAGGGAATAAGTCATGGGAGTAAGAATATGTCCTATTGTCATTCAAAATGTAATTTGATATATGTTCTATTCAGAGGATCTCCATATTTATACATATATGTGTACACATGTACATACATGTGTGTACATATGTACACATACATATTTGAGATGGTGAACCTGATTCACAATTGTTGCAATTTTAATCAGGCCTCTGAGAACAGAAAAAAGAATTCAGGCAATGTATCTTTAACCCTCACTGTAACACTGTAACATTCCACAAAGCAGATCACAGAGTAAAAATTTGAAGAAACCATCTTGTCCTGTCTTCAAAACCTAAATTCTCTCATGTGCACCATGATGACAGGCGGGTCTTCTCTGTTCCAGATACAGTGGATGGGAACTGGGGTTGCTGGTCTTCCTGGAGCACATGCAATGCTGCTTATAAGAGATCAAGAACCCGAGAGTGTACTAACCCTGCCCCCCAACAGGGAGGGAGACATTGTGAGGGCAAGCAGCGGCAAGAGGAGGACTGCACATTTTCAATAATGGAAAATATGTAAGGCTGGGTAAGAGGACAGAACGGGTTATTTCTCCCACTAGCATAGAGAGTTCAGCTATTTATTATCCCACTGGGAAGTAAAAAGATATTTGGAATTTTACCTATGCCAACAGCATGTTAGTGAAGTATTGAATTTGTTGCTGTGCTTATCTCATATTTAATATGTATGTAATTAATATATATGAATACAGGCTATTCATGTACATACTCATGTAAATTTGTGTACATAAATTTGCAGACATTTATTTTTCCTTTCTAGTGGGCAACCATGCATCAGTGATGACGAAGAAATGAAAGAGGTAGATCTTCCTGAGATAGAAACAGATTCAGGGTGTCTTCAGCCAGTTCTTCCAGAAAATGGATTTATCAGGGTAAGCATCCTGACAATCACTTTTGATTTGGAGATTAAAAAAAACAGAACCTTGAATTTGATTAGTGAAAAAAAAGAACTTGAAAGTATGAATTTGGGACTGGTACACTGGCTCAAGTGGTAGAGTGCCTGCCTAGCAAGTGTTTAAACCATAGTACTGTTAAAAAAAATAGTAAAAAATAGATTTTTTAAAAATTGGAACTATTATTTTCCCATTTTAATAATCTGTTAACTTAAAAGGTATAAAGTAATCTTGACCATTCCTTTTTTAAGTTATTTTTTGTTACCATGTTATTACTGTACTGGGGGTACATTGTGACATTTATAAAAGTTCTTACACTATATCATAGTTGAATTCACCTCTTCCATCATTCGCCTTTATCCTCCCACCCCTATTCCTGGAATAATTTCAACATGTCTCATTTTTCCATTTTTATACATGAGTAAATAATATTTCCACTACATTCACCTTCCTACACCTTTTCCTTATATCTTCCAACTCCCACTGGTACCAACCCCCAGACAAGATCTGTTTTACCTTCCTGTTCTCTAGTTTTGAAAAAAAGCATTTTTGTTGTTTATGATAGCTATACAGGAGTTTTATTGTGACATTTTCATGCATATATGTATTGCATATGCATGCATATATGTATGCATGCAATACATATATGCAATGCCTGCATTGGTTCATCCCTGTATTTTTCTCCTTTCTACCTTTGTCCCCTTCTTATGGTTATTTCAACAGACTTAAAAATTCTATATTCATTCTTATATAGAAAGTACGTCAACCATATTCATCTTCTTAACTTCCTTCATTTACCCTCCCTCTCCCATTACTGTAACCTGATTTTCATATTTGTATTGTGTCCATCTCCCACATATGAGAGAAAACATGCAGCCTTTGTCTTTCTGAGCCAGGCTTACTTCTTTTAACATTATGTCCTCTAATTGCATCCATTTACCTTCATACCACATAGTTTCATTCTTCCTCATGACTGAATAAAACTCCATTGTATATAAATACCACATTTTCTTAATCCATTCATCAGTTGTAGGGCATCTGGGTTATTTCCATAGGTTAGCCATTGTGAAAAATTCTGCAATAAACATGTCTGTGCAGGTGTCTTTATTGTATCCTGACTTACATTCCTTTGGATATATCCCTAGGAGTGGTAATGCTAGATAATATGGCAGTTTTTGTCTTTTGAGGAACCTCCATACTGTTTTCCATAGTGGTTGTACTGATTTAGATTCCCACCAACATGGTATGAGATGGGAGGGTTCCTTTTTCCCCACATCTTGACCAACATTTGCAGTTTGTGTTCTTGATGATGGCCATTCTAACATCATTCAACATCTGTGAGATGGAATCTTAACATAGATTTGATTTGCACTTCCTTTATGGCTAGGAATGCTGAGCATTTCTTCATGTGTGTTTTGTTGTTGTTGTTTTGTTTTTGGTTTTTTTGCCATTTCAATTTCTTCCTTTGAAAAAACTCTGTTCAGTTCATTTGCCCATTTCTTTATTGGGTCACTGATTTTGGGGGAGTCTAGTTTTTTGAGCTCCCTGTATATTCTAGTTATTAATCCCTTGACAAATGTATAACTGGCATAGATTTTCTCCCGTTCCGTGGCCTGCCTCTTCAATCTGGTGACCAATTCTTTTGTTGTGAGAAACTTTTTAGTTTCATGTAGTCCCCTTTGTAAATCCTGTCTTTTGACCTCTTTTTCATCTTAAATTTCCTGGAGATGTCTTCATGCCTGTGTCTCATGGTACCGCTTAGTTCATACAAAGATGATATATTTGTGTTAGTAGAGAATGGAACTTCAGCATAATATAGAGTTGAGGAACTTGTAAGAATCTGAAACTGATGTTTGCCTGTTAATGTCTGAGTCTGAGAAAAATAATGTCCTTATCTAAGACATAACTATTCTCAGAGAGATTAAACAAGACTTGACCATAATCATAGGAGTATTGAGTCTGTATTGCCTTATTAGGTTAGAAATCTATAGAACCCTTAGAAAGTGAGTATAATTGTAATATCCTTTTAATTTCTTCTTTTTCACAAAGCTACAATATGTTTCCATGCTTTTTATACAAATTGAATACTTATTGCCAGACAAATCTATGACTTTAGATATAAATCTTTCAGGAGATACATAATATTAAAATTGATCACAGAGGCATGCTCCATATCCATTTACATTTCTTAAAGTCAGTAAAATCCTTAAAATAAGATTTTTCCAACTGTATCATATTTATGAACAAAAATCAATAACATTCAATTCTCAAAGGCCAGCACATAAGTATCTACGCATGGACCATCGTCCGGGCTCATGTATCTTCCCTGTTCTGTCTTCTGCCTATATATATAGATATTTAAGGGAAGAAACTATTTTAGAGGGGGATAATTTCAATTAGTCTTTATTTCAGAATAGAAGCTCTCAAGCTCACCAATGTAGTGGAGAGCTTGTTAAAACAGATCTGTGGGTTCCAATCCCACTGTTTCAGTAGGTATTGAATGAGGCCTAAAAATGTCGCTATCTAGCATGTTCTCACACAGTCCTGATGCTGCTAGGTCAGGAGTCACACAATGGAGACTAAAGCCAGGAGTCAGCAAACCATGGTCTAAAGACCAACTCTGAAGTGTTACATTTTTAAAAACAAGATTTTATTGGAATGCAGCATATTCATTTATTTACATATTGTCTATGGGTACTTTAATGCAATAATGGCAGAGGTGAGACATTGTGACAGACACTTTATGACCTGCAGCTGACTATCTGGGCCTTTTGTTGGCTTATTCCATTAATACAGGTAGAACAAAAAGAAAAAGGGTGTAGTAGCACTTATCCTTTTATCAGGATAGTGGCATTGATCCATTAATGAAGACACAACCCTTATGACTTAATCACCTTTTAATGCAACCACAATGGCAATTAAATTTCAATATGAGTTTTGGATGGGATATTCAAACCATAACAAAATGTTTTTATTTTTATAAACAAATTTGCTCCTTATTTTATTTTTCTTTATTAAAAGCCTTATCTCTTAACAGCCAATAGTACATAAGGATCAATGGGTTACTAGGAAATGAGTGACATTCTTAATTGACATTCTTATTTGTAGTCAATTAGTCACACTTAACAGCTGCATATGTTTGCTGTATATGTAGGAAACATTATTCAGTTTATAGTCACAATATAAGTATATAGTTTTTCTCTTCTAGCACTAGTAAGCTATCCCTATGTAAGGTGGAGTAAGTTTTTAAGTAAAAAGAAATTATAAGAAATTTAGAGAAGTGATGTGGAAAACAGATTCAAAGAATGACCAGTTAGAAAGCTGCTGTGGTGAGAAATAATAAACACCAGGAAGAAAGACTGTATACTGTGATTGTCTCCCAGTCACTCCAAGTTTTGCAACTCATCATTCTGGTTTAGCTGTGACACATGGTCTACTCTAGCTGACTTTTGTTGGTGTTATTACATGGAATTTCCTTGTGTACCTGGATCTTAATAGTAATTCACTTCTGTGCCCAAATGCTGACATGTGTCCCTTACTCCACCCCTCCCCACTCGTCCATCCACAGTGAGCATCTGCTGGGTTGGAGCTGTTAGAAGCTGACCCTGAAGTCCTGGTACTGTCCAAAGCCATTTTGAGAATGTATGCACATTCGCTCACTTAAGTGCTTCTGGGAGAAACTACTCAGTGTGATCCCTACTCCTTCCTGACTTTAATTTTTTGAAAAGTGCTCTTAACTCCTAAAAGCAAAATCCATCTTGTTTTATACATAAGAATTTTTTAATGAATAAATCAAGCACTACCCACAAAAAAAAAAAGGACTAGATGATGAAGAAAGGAAGGAGAGAATGTTGGGAGGTACTTAGGAGTAGAATTTGAGAAAACTCTATGAGTAGATATAGAGGTGGTTGAATAAACTGAATTCAGGATGATGCTATAATGTTTAGAGATGGTTATTCATCACATTAGTAATTTTAATAATTTTATGGCATCTGTTTTAATTTTAGAATGAAAAGAAACTGTACTCAGTTGGGGAAGAAATTGAAATTTCATGCCTTACTGGATTCAAAGCTGTTGGATACCAGTACTTCAGATGCTTACCAGACAGAACGTGGTGGCAAGGGGATGTGGAATGCCGACGTGAGAACTGGGCAAACATTTTGTGTGACTACTCTACACAATGAACGTGCCCAATATAAATAGAGAAAAATCACACCCTTGCATCAGTACATTTTACTATTTTTTAGTAACTATGGTGAAAAGACTTAGTGAAGCAGTAAATGGGGCTTATTTGCTAAAATTAGATATCAAAATATCTCCATATTTCAGTTCTCCTCCCTCTGCTTCAAACACAAAGTATGTGAAGTATGGTCTTAAAAAGAAATCCAGGAAGTCTGCAAACTGTATTTAACCACAGACATCCGCTCTGCCTGATGTAGAAATTGGTGTAAACTGATGAGTCCCAAGAAGGTGATACTGAGAATCTTTAAGTATCAGAACTTGGATTTTATGTGAGATGCAGTTTTCTCCAGGCACTGTTCCTTAGAGCACATTGACATTCTTCACTGAAAAACAGTTCATGACCTTGTAGGTCCTGAGGATACACATGATGCAGGAAAGAATAAATGAGATTCAAACAAGGATCAAATGGAGACCTCCAAAAATTGTTATGGGACACCTTGAAGCAGAGTTGAGACCTGTGTCAATTAGAATGTCCTGCCTCTGTGCCACTCACAATGTGGTAACTTGTTTGGGGGAAAAGGTAGAAGAGGAAAGGAAATTATTTCCTAAAAGGAAAAGGTCCCAAAGATGTAATCAATGTTGAATATGTCTGGAACCAATTCCTTAGGAAGGAAACCTCAGCTATTAGAACTAAAGGGAGTTTTTTGATGGAGTCTCTGGAGATCCTTAAACCTGAGGTTTCCTGATCAAATTGGGTATGAAAGCTGAGTATATGCAGTAAATCTCTTTAATGTCACCTATTGGGTGCATAAAATCTGCCTATCTTCCCTGAGTTTTCTCCTCCACTAAACACAATTGAAATGTTGCTCTCCCTGCAGGGACAGAGTGCCTCAAGCCAGTTGTGCAGGACATCCTGACACTCACACCATTTCAGAGAGTATATAAAATTGGTGAATCCATTAAACTGACCTGCCCAAAAGGCTTTGCTGTTTCTGGGCCATCAAGGTACACGTGCAAGGGGGATTCCTGGACACCACCCATTTCAGAATCACTGACCTGTGAAGAAGGTGAATAGCAGCTCAAAATTGGGGATTCTAACAAGTCAGGTTCCCTGAAACTGGCAGTTCAGTAACTACAGCAATGCTGTTTCTTACCTGTGTTTTGGAGAGAGAAGGCAGCAGAGTCCACTGGAGAACTAAGTTTTAACTCGTCCTACTTAGATGATGAGAGTGAATAGCAAGTAATAGGTTATTAGTCAAGTAGATTTTCAGACTTTAGAAATTGAGTCTAATTTTTCATTTCCAATATAAAACTTTTATAGAAGTTCAAAATCTTTCATCTAACAAGATCAGAACTGATGTTCAACTGAAATGTTCAGTTCAAGTAAAGAACCACAAAAAGTAGCTAACACATAATTAGGCATTTTCTTACTACCTAAAACAAATTTTTTGAAGTTCTTTGAATAAAACAAACCCAGTATATCAGTTTCTCTAAACGATAGTTTTAAACTCTGGGTGGTATCTGCCTAAATAGACCTGAGTATGTGACTCAAGTGGTAGAGCACTTGCCTACCAAGTGTAAGGTCCTGAGTTCAAATCCCATTACCTCTTGCCCTCAGAACGTCAAACATTAAAGAGTGTTCTCATTTCTAGGTTGGCCCTGTGCTGGGTCTTGTAGACAGCTCAGTGTCAGCACTAACTTCATCCTGAGGCTTCAAGGAGAGATCAAAGACTCATTGCATGTAATCACTGACCATTTCAAACCAGCAGTGACAGAGCAATGCTCTGTGACACTTGATTCTCTTTGGGGAAAAAAAAATGCATAGTTTGGGGCCTCTCGCTGATGAATATGTAGACTTATTTACAGAGGGCAGAGGAGCACAATCATAAGAAGCCAAATAAAACAGTCCAATGCCAGTGTAAATCTTAGTAGCTGCAGCTTATCCAGAGCTATAGGTCTCCAAGTTTATGAAGGTTCTGGATCAAATTTCACCAGCTGGAATGAGAATACTAACAAAGGATAACAGTAGGAAATGGCAATAGCAGCAAACACCATGTTGCTGAACATGAACGCAAACACCATGCTGATCCTGTGGATGCCTGATGCCTGATGAGTCAGATCCAGAACGGGGAGTTTGTTTCATCCTACATGCCAAGGCATCAGTTCCAGATCCAACAGCCAGTCTGAAGGTTCTTTGGGTGGACCTCAATGTACACAAAGATGACCAAGGTTTTCTTTACATACAACATATCCCAAGTGTCATTCCTCCACTTTACTCCCTCCTCCCTCACATACTATTCTATGCCTCATCTTAATTCAAGCATCATTTCCTCAGGCATCTTTTCTTAGTTTTCCCAATTGAAGCTTTCATGGTATGTGGTCTCCTAAAACCATTACATTCCCTTTCTTCATAATATCTGCTTCATCCCTTAATTATAAATCCATTATTAGACTGATTGTTTGTTTTCCTATTATTTCAATTGTCTTAAGAGTATCCACTTCTTAATTTTACCTTTGGCACCTTAATCCAAATTACTATCCAAACTTTCACCTGAATTACTACAGTAACATCCTTCAGAATCATGAAAAGGGACCACTGCTGTTTTCTTCAACTTCTTCTCCCTCCACACCTTTTTCCTTCCTTTCCCTTCCTCTTCTAACCTTCCTTCCACCTTCATTGATTCCTTTGTCCCTCCCTTCCTTTTTCACCGTAATATTCTAGTGTCCAGGGATAAGTATGTACATTTAGAAGTTACATTTCTCCATTGATCCTTCTTGCAAGAAAATCTAACTTTCAAGTCATTACTCCAAAAAATATGTGTACCATTATCATAGTTAATATCTATATTACTAGATATAGTGAACATCATTTTCATCCTCATCTTTTTTGATCCCTCAGCAATGTTCAACAGTGTTGCCTACTGCACATAAGTTCTTTTCTTGGCTTCAAAGACATAAATCTTATTTAACTCTCTGACCACTGTCCTCTCTTTCAGGCAGGTTCTTGCCCTTAGTAGGACATTAAATGTTGGAATCCCTTGAGACTCAGATCTTTCTTATCACCTAATACTACACTTTCCTGGTGAGGACTCCTATCTGCAACTATAGCATCAGTGAGTCTCCCATGGACTTAATGAATTTGAATCTTTAGTACAGACTTCTCTACTGAGCTTCAAACATGAATTCCCAAGTTCCTCTATGTCTATCTTATTTGAATGTCTTAAAGATACCATAAATTTAACATGTGTGCAGAAGAACTCTTGATAGATCTTCTTTTCCTCCCAAAATTAAGAATCTTTTAATATTTCCTCTTTCAAATAAGCACCAGATCTCTTCTCTTATGCAAACTAGAAACGTAAGGATTATATTTATAGCTCTAATAACTTACCACCGTACGTAATAATGATTTTAGCCTGCTATATATGTTTCAAGTTGATACACTTCTTTCCTCTTCTATATTTGGTCCAGAATACCATCCCTTTTCATCTTAATTACTATAATAACCCCACAGACCACCTGCCATATATCATCTGCCATATCCCTCTTGACCCTATGACTCTCTAAACCTACTCTTGGCACACAAGCCAGCATCTAATTCTTTTTCAAAATCCAAGCCTGATTTTGTCACACTACCCCTGATTAAAAAGCATCAAATACCTTCTGCTTCTTAGGAAATGAAGGGTAAACAACCTTATGAGACCATGCACAGCCTAACATATGCCTACTTCTTGGGCCATTTCTTTTTTACATGCTTTTATTTTTCTGCACTTCTTCTACACTGGCCTCCTCTCAGTTCCAGGAAAATTACATGCTTCCTCCCTTTTGAGCACTTTCATACCTGATGTGCTGCTTCAAACAGTCTCTGTCTTCCCCATCCCTCGCCAATTTACCATTCCTAATCCTTCTAGATATATCAGTTCTCTTGATTATATGCTTTCTCTTTAATAGCACTAATAATGGCAACAATTCTATATGTATTATCATGTTTGTTTGATCAATGCCTGTCTGCCCCCTTAGAATATAGGTAAGATTTTTCTCAATCCTCTAGACTCAGAACCTAGCAAAATGATGGGAACATCAAGGATGTTCAATAAATATTAGAAAAACAAATGAACAAAAATTTCACCAATTTCATTTTTTTAGTTCTCTGAGGTTAACAGAAATTTTAGTTTGCAGAATGATGGCATATGTGAACTGGAAAGGACATCTTAGATGGAATATTTCATGACATTTATTTGGAGAAGCTAAAATGAATGATCTAAATCCAGGAGATAAATGAGAACCCTATGCCACTGTTTTTTTTGTTTTGTTTTGTTTTTGTTTTTCTAAATTCAAGCTTATCACTGAGAAGTCATGCTATGACTTTTCTTTTCTTTTTTTCTCTCTTTTCTTTTGTTTCAGATATTCTGACAAAATTAAAGGGCCATTGTCAGCCTGGACAAAAACAATCAGGATCTGAATGCATTTGTATGTCTGCAGAAGAAGACTGTAGGTATGAGATACTCTATGGACTGTGTTTCCAAATTGGGAAAAACAATCTAGTGTAACCAGCTTGATGGAAAAGCTGAACTACTTGAAGCATAAACATGAAACATTAATTTTCACATAACTGATTACTCCTTTACCCTTTTCCCTATTGGGAAACAAGTTTTTTAAATTATCTTTCAGCCTGGTTTCCTAAGTTTGTTCATTTAAACAGTATAATTTTGGTTTTAAAGACTTACTCTCTTGTCCATTTAAAAATTTCAAACTCAACTATATCTAAGCCTACCTTTCCCCTGCTAAATATAGGGGAAAGTATAAATCCCAGTAGCTTAGAGTAAAGGAAGTATTGTGAGCATGGACTTTAAACACACACACACACACACACACACCACACACCACACACCACACACACACACACACACACACACACATACCTCACACCACACACACATACACACACACACACACACACAAACCACACACACCACACACACACACATACCACACACACCACACACACCACACACCACACACACCACACACCACACACACCACACACACCACACACACACACACACACAACACACACAACACACACATACCACACACCACACACACATACCACACACACCACACACACCACACACCACACACACCACACACCACACACACCACACACCACACACACCACACACACCACACACCACACACACCACACACACCACACACACCAGACACCACACACATCACACACACCACACACACCACACAGACACACATACCACACACCACACACACCACACACACACACACACACACACACCACACACACCACACACACACATACACACACCAGACACACCACACACACACACACACACATACCACACACACACACACACACACATACCACACACCACACACCACACACACACAACCACACACACACACACCACACATACCACACACACACATACCACACACCACACATACCACACACACCACACACACCACACACACCACACACCACACACACCACACACACCACACACACCAGACACACCACACACACCACACATACCACACACCACACACACACATACCACACACCACACACACCACACACACATACACACCACACACACCACACACACACACACACATACCACACACCACACACACCACACACACCACACACACCACACAACCACACACACCACACATACCACACACACACACACACACCACACACACCACACACACCACACACACCACACACACACACACACATACCACACACACCACACACACCACACACACCACACATACCACACACACACACACACACACACACATACCACACACACACACACACACACACACACCACACACACACACACACCACACACACACACACATACCACACACCACACACACCACACATACCACACACACACACACACACACACACACATCTTTGCTGGTTAATTCTTTTGTGCTGGGGAAGAAAGCATAAAGAAGAGAAACAATAAGTTCTCATGTAATTTTCATGACTGGTTTGGATATCTTTCTCAGTATAACTGTCTTTATTGAACAAACCCAAGACTGTCAACATAGTTCATTCATTTATGGATTAATTTTAGATGAATTTAAAAAGCAAATCCAAAATAGCATTCACTCAAGATAAAATTTTGTTTCTCTAGCTCACAAAATAAATTCAGAAATGGGCTAGCATGGTGAGCTTCTCATTTCAGATAAGACAGAGGCTCCCTCCTGTTCTCTGTATTGCCAGCTTTAAAGTTATTTCATGGTCTAATTTTGCTTTGCTGGAAAAGGAAGGAAGAAAGACTACAAATGGGTTATGTTCTTTCTTTTTAGGTTTTCAAGGAAGACCCATTATCTACTTCCATCTCTTTAGATTGGTTTTATTTTCATAGCCACATGTATCTGCAAGCAAGGCTGGGGAATGCAGTTCTTTGACTGGATACATATTCATTCTGAATAAAATTAGAGTTAAATTACTGAGGTGAAATAAAGGATGTTGAGGAGCAAGCCGATATGTAGTTGTGAATATTTCATTTTTAACAACTGATTGGTGCTCATGTTCCTCTGTGCTACAGGAAAACAAACATTTGTAGGGAATCAATTATTGTCTTTTTGGAGAGCACAGCAGGGTTTTCTGTATAATAGTATCAGCACAATTCAGCCCAAAGAGGCTCTATCTACCTTCCTCAGTGTACATCACAAGGGGTTCATCAAGTTGCTTCTTGATGTGGAGTGCCCTCACCAGCAGAGATGGCCTTCTGCGGACTACCTATATCACTTACATTGTTTACTTGGCAGTGGAAGCTTTTTTCTTTATCTGTGCAATACAAATCTTGAGAATACAAGCTGTCCCTTGGAAATTCTATTGCAGTTCTGCTGTAACTCTGCACTCTCTTTCTACGTATCTTGCTTCTCTTTTATGCAGGGTTGAAAGTGTTTATGGGAGTGGTTGTCCCACATCCTAAATTCTCTGAACTTATAAAGTAGTCATTTGTTCTCAGTTATTTCCTGGCTCTATTTCCTGCAAAGAATCTTCTACACAAGGGCACTGGTTGCTAACTCTAAAGTGACATTGGAGAAGAAACTCAAATTTAGAGTAATCAAAGAGATCTTGTCCTCTAAGCAAGAGAAAAACTATGGTCACTTGTTCCCTCTTAGTAACAGAATGCATTCATTACTCAGAGAGACTAAGCAAGTTACACAGAGAATGATCCCAAGGCACATGCTCTTAATCACAGTACAAACACACTTGCAACACTATATAATGATATAGACTCTATATGACATGTTCTTAATTGGTGTTGCAAATTATGAATATTTTTGAGTTTAGAGGAGATACAGAAGACTTTGGGCTGGGTTGATCAGGGTAAGCTTCAAACTGTTGCCAGAAACTAAGGTTAGCATGGACAGTAAGACAAGAGAAATGATACAATGCTGATTGAACAGAGCCTAGAAGACAATAAGGGAAGAATAAATTTATTTGCTTAGATATCAAGAAATACAATTGTCAGGTGATTAAAAAGAGATTTAGGAAGATGGGAAAATAACAATAGAAAGAAAAGCTGATTGGAATTTCATATGGAGGATCTTGGCTATTCAATTCTTCAGGCTTAAATTTGAAGTCAATTAGAAATAACAGCAAGATTAATATAAAATTTTAGGAAAATAAGTCCCAGGCAGCATGTAAGATGAAAGCAGGAACTGAAAGGAGAGAAAATGGGTGGAAAAAAATTAGGGGAAAAACTGGGTGGTGAGTTAACATATTAAATTGGCTACAACCATCTGTTTTTTTCTGGTCCTAAAATGTAAATGCTTGCTTTCTTTTCTTGGGCAGCCATTATTCCGAAGATATTTGTGTATTTGACTTCAGTTCCAGCCATTACTTTACTTCATCTGTTTGTAAGTTTTTGGCTGAGAAATGTTTAAATAATGAGCAACTCCATTTTCTACATACTGGTTCCTGCCAAGATGGTCTACAGCTAGAATGGGGTCTTGAAAGGACAAAACTTGCATCCAATAGCACGAAGAAAGAAGTTTGTGGCTTCAACATCTGCTATGACTGGGAAAAATGTTCAGGTAAGCTACAATGGTGATCATGTACTAGAAATGTCCTCACTCAAAAGTCATACCAGATGGCATGATACATTGTCTTTGCACTTGCATATCTTCTTTTTAAAAAATAACTTTTCCTTAATACAAGATTGATTCTCTTTTACTGTAATTTTCTTAAATGGTTCAAAGAGAAAAGACAAAATAGTAACACCCACCTCTACAAATACTCACCTCAATACTACTAGTGTGTATCTTTCCTTTCCTCCCGATGCACACGTAATCATTTTACATTTAGATCCCAGTAAAAAGATCATTTGTCCTGATGTCAAGCTTTATACACCCTCTTCCCATACCTAATCTTGAAGGGCTTTCATCAGAATTGTCTAACATTTCTCCTGGTGATTGGGATTCACTAGGGCCAATACTGCTGTTGAGATGGGACTGAATTTCACATAAATACCAATTGACAAAAACATCTTCTTAAATTTCTTTAGGTATTCTGGACCAGTCAGGACTGGCTATGTTACTTAAGCAGGAACCTTGAGCTTAGACAAGTCCCACATGAACCAGGCCCTGTAGAACATCTCCCACTTTATGCTGTTTCTCGTTCCTATCATTCATAGCATTGACTAGATGCTCCAAAAAGCTCTGTGTCATTTCTGGTCTAGAAGTTAGATTGACCATTAGTCCTAGAGAGCAGCTCAGTGAGAAACAGATTGCTCCTACTGGCCAGCAGGGTCTTCTTGCTCAAGGTTGCTTGAGATTGGACTACCAGTATGGTTCTCATACTCTAATTTGGGTGATTAATTATTTATGTATAACTACCACCATAAAATTTCTCTCTGGGGCTTCACACATTTCAGAGGTTGCCCTGCATGTACACATTTTTAAAAGGTAAAATGGGATCATATTCTATGTGATATGTTATAAATTGATGTTTTCACTTAACATATCATGAAATTATTCCCATGTCTTCATCTATTATTCTACCACATAATTTTCAGTGCCTTCAAAAGTGTATACAGACATGTGATTTACTTAATCATTTTTTGGACAAGCACTTGAAATTTCCTCCACATTTTGCTATTATAAACAGTGTTGTAATAGATAAATCTATAATCTAAGATTATTCCATAGGATATACCTTAGAAAATGGAATTTACAGGTGAATTTTATTTTTAAATATAAAGTTTTTACTGATATGATGTATCACCTTGCTTCAAGACATGTTTTTAGCGTATTATATTTCAATCTGTACATATGATAGCAATTTCTCCAAGCATTGAGGTTGTCACTCCTTTATATCCTTGGCAATTGAATACTTAAGAAGTAGCATTAAATTTCCATTTTCCATAAGTATATTGCTATTAGCATTACATTTGTGAGCTGCTTAAAGCAGGGACTTCACAGCAGTACATTTGCTCTGTTTTGAAATCTGACCTTGAAATAACCAAACTAAGCTCTATATAATACACAAGATGGTTGGAGATTAGGATTTTACAGAACTCAAGTAGACAGCTAGATTTCCCTTGCAATATATATTCAAAAATGTATCTTAAATCTATATATAAAATATGCAATGGAAACTTTTAGAGCACCTTATATTTAAGAAGAAAAACAAAACCTTGTTGTTCTCTTTGGATTCTCTTTCATTTTCTGGCCCAAAGTTCTCCAGCTCAGTCCTAGGAAGAAGAGAGGTCCTTCCTGATCCAGTTAGAGCTGTTTATCAAGATTCATCTTATTTGACAGACCACAAGATTAACACACAATAGAGAGTAGACACAGTGGCACAGTGAACAGACAATCCAATGGCAGCAACTCAGGAGATGGACACCTGGGATTTCTAATCCTCATGCCACATCTGAACAAAGCAGTACCACAAAGAGATAGAAAACTGGGATCTGATACATATGTTGCCCAACTCTAATCTCTATGAAAACATCTTTAGATTAAAAACTCTACCTTTCATTTTTTGGATGTTTGGCCAACAGCATTACCCAACTGACATCTCTCTCAGAAACAATAGTGTGTGATGGGAAAGAGTTGCAAATGTTATGCAACATTCTTTTTGTATTTAAATGTAGTCATTTTCTCTGAAAAATGTAGTATAAGAATACATGCAGGAAAAATATAGAAAATGCAAAAATACATACAGAAAATAAAAGGAATTTGGACAGTGGAGATGGAGGAGGCAAAAAATTGCCCCTAGCTATAATAGGTAGGTCAGCTGTTTGGAATTGTGTTAAGGGTTGGCTTCCCTTCTTCCTTATTTGTCATAAAGATCTTCATGGAACTCTTCCATTAGAAAAAATTTCTGGTTCTGAAGATTTGGGGCATTTTTGCCATTTTCCACAAATTATTCTTTTCAATTCTGTCTTAACAAATTAATGATTGGCTACATACAATTTCATCACAGTATCTGCTTTACTATTCCCCTTCGCTGTATATGCATTTACGTGCCCACAGATTTTAGGAATGTTAGTTTGTCCAAAAGAAAAGATGTTTAAAATTTTGAATACTTAACCAATATTGCTCTGATTAGCAGAATGATTTGGATTAATCAAATTAACACTTAAGCATTTCTTAATGAGATATATATTTAAGTAATCCAAGATAATTTTGGTCCTGCACATACTCAGAAATCTCAAAGCATGCTTTTCCCTAAAGATACTGTCTGCCTCTGCCAGCCTTCCTTAACTGGCAAGCAAAAGTCAATGTCACAGAAAATTCTGTTTGAGGCAGTGCTGTAAACACCACCATTATGCAAACTAATCCATTTACCAAGAGAAAGCTAGAAATGTATTTTATACCTAACCAACTCGTGGCGAGTTGTGATATTAGTAATTTTGAGTTGAATTGAATGCCACCTTGATTAAACTGTGCTCTTGATTACATTGTGATCTTTGCTACTCTTTTCCTTCCCTATCTAAAATGCAATAAAAAAATTTAAAGTGGAACTTCAAAGTAACAGGAAGTTCACTTTTCAAAAGTGGGAAGTGGAATGGCTCCCTTAGGGAGCCTATTTTTATGGATATCAAATGTTCTGTCTGAATTTCAAAAACATCCACCACCAACCAATAAAAAGGAGAAATCCATTTAGCTTCCAGCATGTGGAAGTAACTGTACAAAGCATGGTGAGGGGGTTGAAGATAAATTGTTCACAGTTCTTGAAGGAGTTACATTAAATAATAGTTACATGAATCACCTTAATGCAAGGCAGTGTGTGATAAAAGCTGTAAGAGAGAGAAAAATGTCTTTTGACCTGGGTTTCATAGGCATGGCAGGGTGAGTACTGAGTATTTAAGGATTAATTACTGGAAGTGGTACACAGAGCCTTTTTGTGCTGATCATCTGAGAGAAACCAGACTACAAGATTTTAAGATAATCATACAAAAGAGTAGTGACCATGGCATTTGCAAATGCCAGGAGAGCAGATTTCCTAAGCAGAGTTGGAACAGACCCTTGGCCTTCTCCAAACTCCATCCCTTCCAACAATGAACAAGACTTTTCACAACTACAATCTTCTCTAACTAATTGACAGAGAACATAGAAAAGAAAAGCATGTTTTATTCATGAAATGTTTCATACCATGGGCGAGGTGCCTGTATGTGTGGTGCATATGAGAATCTCCCCAATTCCTTCCTTGACTTCTCCCATAAGAGAAAAACTGACATTTGCTTAAGTTATTCTTAATGGCATCACTGCCAATCCTCAGGCTAACTCTCGTATCTAGTAACATTATTATCTCAGATCCATCTAATGCATTTCTTCTTGTATACTTATACTTACACTCAAAACTCAGGATTTGAAAGCAATTGATCCAGTTAATTTAGCATCTTGTTAAGAACTAAGTAAGACATAGAAGAGGATAATCCATACTTAACATTCTCAAACAAAGTACTTATAACTCTTGGAGAAAAGACGTATGGAAATCTAACAAGAAACCATTAAAATGACATATATGGTACAAAAAATTTTATAGTAATATGGTTGAAAGATAAAAGTCAGAGGGGATAAATAGTCATGAAATGGTTTGTGAGTCTTGTAGAAAATGAATATTTGAAGAGATGCTAAAAAAGAGAGCATAGTAGAGCAGAAGAAGGAGACGGCATGGTAGAAAGGACAAAAACTGGAACACTCTGAGTCTTGTTTGAAACACTAAGGAGAGGATAATCTTTCTTGGAATGAAGAAAGTAAAAAATAATAATAATGTTGGAAAGGTCAAATTGTGGAAGAACTGGAATTTTGACTAAAACATGCATATACGTTTATGTGTGTATGTGTGTGTGTGTGTGAGCTAATATCCCTTTACTCTAAGTTTAGCTAATGTTCTTGATGTTAAACACTTTATCCCTGAATAACTGTTTTAACATAAACACACAAGGTTTATATGAGTTATGAACTCTTCAGGTTGCTCTAAAAGCAGACATCATAGGAGAATTATCCCACTAACTGCTTACTAACTATATAGATCCCAGGTATAACTCAGTAATATTTTAGAAATAAATAAATAGCTATAGTATATAGCTATGTTAAAGGGCTCTGGCCTGTGGGTCATTTATTACAAAACTCACCTGTAACATTTACTAATTATATGACCCATACGCAAATTGCTTAACCTCTCTTTGCTCAGTTTCCTCATCTTGCACTAGTTATAATGACATAGTTCATACACTTGCTGTGAAGAGTCAGTGAAATAAAGGATAAAGTGCTCAACACATCATGTGGCTTTTAGAGTTCATGCTCAGTTAGTAGTAGCTCTAATGTCCTTAAGCAGTGCCAGTAAAAAAAGAACAGAAAGGACTAAGACATTAAGACATAGTAGAAATGGATTAACAGGCCTAGTGACTGAGAGTGGGCAGCAAACAAGAGGGAGATGATGGAAGTAGCTGAAATCCTGATTAGATATGGGCAGTGAGACAGGGAAAGAGGTCAGAAGTAGCCAAACTCTTAAATGTTACGGGCTCTGCTGTCTTTCATGCAGGTCTCTCCAACAATCATATTTGGCTACTTGGGGCCATTGTCTTTGTTTCAGCTTTCGTATTCATTGTCACCAAAGAGCTCATTGCTGTGGGAAGAAATTAAGTAAAGCCTGGCATAAAGTACCATAAGTAGTCACACTGTCTCTCTCTCTTTCATTGCAGCTTCTACTTCCAATTGTGTCTGCCTGTTACCTCCCCAGTGTTTCAAGGGTGGAAACCAACTCTATTGTGTCAAAATGGGATCATCAACACATGAGAAAACTGTGAACATCTGTGAAGTGGGAGCTGTGAGATGCGCAAACAGGAAGGTGGAAATTCTCTACCCTGGGAGGTGTTTGGTCTAACTAAACTACTGATAGAACAGATTCACTATCCAAAAGCAATCCTTACAGAAGGGTATTCTTGTACAGAGAGCAGGATGGCATGACCACAAATTACTGACAGAAATTCTTTTGTGTTAGTTACATACCATTATTCTCCCCAACTCTTCTGTTTCTTCATCCCCGAGCCAGTTCCAACCCATATCACCCTATAGTATACCTCTGGATTATGACTTACCTATCAGTGTAGTAAATTCTCTTGTTCACACTGCATGAAAATAATGGGACTTCTGAGGACTCGATAAAGCATCTTCACAATAAAAACAAGAGCAAAAACTATAATTTTCTTCAGTGAATCAATAAATGTAGAAATATATAAAACCTTAAGAGCATTTTGGAAACCCAACCTTTATATATTCATTCCACAAATAATTTTCAAGTACCTACAGTATGCTTGGTACTATGCAAGGTCTTGGGAAATCAGCAGCAAATAAAACAGACAAAGACCCCTTACTTTCATGAAGATGATATTCCTGTGGGGGTAGATGTACAATGAATAAAATAATCGTGTAACATATGTAGTATGTTTGATGTTGATCGTTGCTAGAGAGGAAATAAAGCAGGGAAGTATGAGTTCCATCCTTAAGTCCCATCTCATGCAAGGAACTATTTCATAGTAATAAACATTACTGTAAACATGAATGGACTCAAGCAAAAACACCCTGTTTAAAATGGTTAAGAATAAACTTATGTATTTCCAGGATTCTCTGAGGGAGAAGAAAAGAGATTCTCTTCACCTCAGCAAAAGTAACACAAATGTATATGAAACATGGAAAATCATCAGAGACAACAGGGTGGATCTAGGCAAACTTTTTCTGTAAGAGCCTGGTAATAAATACTTTTAGGTTTGCAGACCACATGGTCTGTCACAACTCCTCATCTCTACCATTGTAGTGTGAAAGCAGCCATAGATAAGTGTAAATTAATAGGTGTAGCTGTGTACCAATAAAACTTTATTTATAAAAATTAGAAAAAAAGAAAATTGTCAAAGAATTTTGAAGGGATAATTTGTAAAGTAAGTCAAATCCTTTTATTAAGCCATTCGAATTAGACACATACTTTTTAGAGAAGTCAGGGTGTCATTTTGAATTGAGGAAGAGAAGTGTCACTAGAACAACACTTCTAAAATATTAGGTACACCAGAATAACCTATAGGATGTGTTAATACGGATGCCTGGGACCCACTCCCAGTTTCTGATTCAGTAGGTCTGGCGTATGGCCTGAGAATTTGTATTTCTACCAACTTCCTAAGTATTGATGCTGATGACCAAGGTCATTTTTTGAGAACATCTAGTTTAGAGATAAGTCATCAAACAGATGTACCTGATTTAGTAATTAATCTCAAAACTTTCCTTCTTCTACAACTCACTAGAATTCTCAACTCATGGAAGGAAGCAATGATCCATAGCCACCTGGATCTAGACTTTGCACATTAAAGGTAAATCCTCCTCCATCTAAGCACAAAATGTTGGTGAAATCTAAACTACCTCATCATATCAAAGGAGAAAAATGAGAAAGTAAAAAAACACATAGATAATAGAAATTGAAGAGACTTCTCCCCCTTTTCCACTTCCTCCCCCAGAATTCACTAACCAAACACTTTTCCAGTCATGCCACTCACCCATCCCCTTCTCACTATGAGAGTGGTGCAGGCCAAACTTGCAAACTTCCTGCCTTCAGTATTCCCAAGACACCTGATGTATAAGAGGCATTAAATATTCACACGTCCTAAGGAGAGTCACTAACAATTGATGAAGAAACTTACTTCAAAACTGCGTTGACTCTACTCTACCCAACTCTCATACCAGCCCCACAACCAGGCCATAAAACAGAATTCAGAGAGGGAAGGAAGAGAACCATGAGAATCTATATACAGTCATGCACACACAGTGTTCATAGCAAGAGTTCTACTCTTCCCCTATGTCCTTTTCCTCTCCTAGTTGAGAACAAAGATGATGAAAGCACCCCCTGAAGCCAAGTGACAAAAATCCCAAGCTAATCACTTGTGGGTTATGTGATTACCTATAGTAAGGATATGTGGTATTGCCCTGACTGGGAGAGTGCTGTGGATTAGAGCTGCTGCTGACAAAGTTCCTGGAGGGGTCCTGCAGGCTCTGATCCATGCTGGAGCAGTTTTCTCCCTTGAGCAGAAACAACTCTCTGCCTAGTACTGAAGGTAAGATGGTACAAAAGTGGCCTGTATCATACTCAAAGTGAAAGAAGAGAGAGGTGATTTGCAGCCCTTCCTGAATCTGAGGCACAAGGCAAGGGAAGAAATAGAGAAATCTGTCATTACACAAAAAAAATACGGAGAAAAGGCTGGCCCTGGCTACAACTGAAGGAAGAGAAAGAGATAAAAATCAGATCTGAGATTGGAGACTTAAACTGGATCAACTTTTAAAAACAGAAATGAACCAGAAACCTATGTGATCTGTTCCAGACTTGATTAAAGGGAGAGAAAAATTAATTTGGCAGAGCACAGTGAAGTCTGGGGTTGTCATAACAAAATACCACATTTCTGTTGGCTTAAAACAACAGAAATCTATTGGCTCACAGTTCTAGAGGCTAGAAATCTGAAATGAAGATGTCATCAGGACTTTGTTTCTTCTGAAACCTGAAACACGTAGGGGAGAGACTTCTTCCTTGTCTCTTCCAGCTCCTAGTGACTGCTAGCAATTCCTGGCATTCTTTGGTTTGTAGAAGCATTCCTCCATCATCACATAGCCTCTTTCACTTTAATTCTTCTGTGCATGTCTGGGCATGATTAGGGACACTAATCCTGTTGAATTTAACCAACTCTAATAACTTTCTTTCAACTTAATTACGTCTGCAAAGACCCTATTTTTATTTTTATTTTTTATTTTTTTTCCTTTTTCTTTTATTATTCATATGTGCATACAAGGCTTGGTTCATTTCTCCCCCCTGCCCCCACCCCCTCCCTCTCCCCCCCCCCGCCTCAATACCCAGCAGAAACTATTTTGCCCTTATTTCAATTTTGTTGTAGAGAGAGTATAAGCAATAATAGGAAGGAACAAGGGTTTTTGCTGGTTGAGGTAAGGATAGCTATACAGGGAGTTGACTCACATTGATTTCCTGTGCGTGGGTGTTACCTTCTAGGTTAATTCTTTTTGATCTAACCTTTTCTCTAGTACCTGTTCCCCTTTTCCTATTGGCCTCAGTTGCCTTAAGGTATCTGCTTTAGTTTCTCTGCGTTAAGGGCAACAAATGCTAGCTAGTTTTTTAGGTGTCTTACCTATCCTCACCCCTTCCTTGTGTGTTCTTGCTTTTATCATGTGCTCATAGTCCAATCCCCTTGTTGTGTTTGCCCTTGATCTAATGTCCACATAAAGACCCTATTTTTAAATAAAGTGGCATTTAGAGATATTAGAGCTAAAGACTTCAATATACCTTTTGGGCAGGCAATATTCAACCCATAGCATTGTGATTGACCAAAAAATAGTATTTCCTGTTTATAGCCCAAAGGGTTGTATAATCAAAGGCTTACACTAGCAATTAGATTCTTTTGTTTGATTTAAATCAGTCACACTTGCTTTTAAGTTATTTGTTAGTTTACTTATAGCAGTCTTCCCCTTTAATGGTGATTAGTTGGACTCTACCACTTCAGTTACTTTTGTTTCAAATAATTTTTTGAGTGCACTAATCCTTTAAAGTTTGCATCAGTCTAATTTGCATACCATTTACCAGTTGAATTTTTCACACTCTGATATTAATATTAATATAGCAATTTAGTACAATGGGTGTTAAGAGTACTAATAAAATTATCATTGTGAAATAGAGAACAAAACTGGAACATGTTAGATACCTGGAATTTGGACCTAGAATCTCCAACTCAATCCTAGAAGATTAAATAAATTATTGATAAAAGATAAAATCTTTTTCCTCTTAGACTATTAAAGAAGAATACTAAGCATTCAAAGCATGTGTGCTTATAGCTTAAGTAACTATAAATCATTTCAGGTCTTTTTAATATAGATTTTAATCTTTGTTGGTTCATCAAAGTACTAATAGAATAACTGATCTCAGTTTAAAGAGCTTTAAGAATAAGCATGTTATATATTACAGAATATATTACAGAAGTTCTGGAAGCAGAAGCACAAGCATGACTCTAAGACTATGAGCTTAAAATTCCAGAGCTCCTGTGAAATGACCTTCAAGCTTAACTAAAGATTTCTTCTTTTTGATAATCATCAGTAAAGATCACTGAATTTTAGAGTATGCTCTTGTTTTTTTCTTTTTCTGCAACAGCCTTTGATTCCCACAATCAACACTGCTTAGTTTTGAAAGTCAGGTTCCTCAGTTGTTCCCAAAAGAGTGCCCACAGCCACACCTAATACACGTCCCTTGCTAAATTCTAATTTTGAGTAACAAGAATCTGATGGATCATGATGTTTCTGGTTGGTGCTGAGTGCCAAACTGCCATGGCACCTGATCAATTGGATTCCAAATGGCAGGCTCTCTCTAAGGTCACCTTCACTGTTTGGGAATACACAGAGAGTGGAATCAATGAGGCATCCTGCTTATAACCAAATAAATGGCCTGCAAAATCATAGTTGCATTCACTCAGTTTTATGAACATGAGACAGGCCACTGCTACACTATTTGTCTTCTTGACAAGTTCTGGCTACACAGTTTTAGTTCCACATGTCCAGTGTCAGTTAGTGGAAGTGTGTGTCACCAATCAAAGGACTCTAGGGGACAGATGGTGCATTGAAAGTCATACTTACAAGATTTATATAGAACAATGTTTATCATGATATTATTTATAATAGCACCCATGACAGACTTTAAAAATCCAATAATAAATTATGGACCCTCCAGATGATGGCAAACTATGAGGTCACAAGTATCATTTAAAAAAAAAAGATTTTTAGGAACATAATAAAAAGTTAAAACCAGACTACAAAACTATATATGATTATGGCTATGCTTTCA